TTGATTGCAGTGCATAGAGTAGCTGTTGTATTTATTTTTCAAGGTCTATCTGGTAGATAAACGTCTAGAGTAAAATTTTAAGAGAACATTAAACGAGATTTAAACCCTGATTTGATAATCTTACCTAGAGTTGCTGAGAAGATAACCATGCGTCTGTTAGACATATCATAGTTTGCTTGCCTTGATTTTATGATAATAAAATTCGTATGACAATTTTTTTCAAAGATATGGAGGCTTTTAATATTTACTTATTATTTAAATGCATTTGATTTAGAAATATCTTTGATTTTAAATGGAAATACCATCTTCATTTCGCGCAATAGAGAGCGCAAAGTTTAAAGAGCATACGTCTCGTAGAGGTAGGTTATCAAAGCAGGGTTAATAAAATGAAAATTTTCGATATAAATATTCTGTAGTAGAAAACTTGTTTTTTTTTTTTATTTTAGTTTACTTGAGGCTTTGAGAAAATGAGTATTTACTTGAAGCAGTAATTACGCTGTATAAAAAATGTTTGTTTTTTTTTTTGTTCACCAGTCCCAAAGTCGAGTTAATTTTTTCCTACACTGAGAAAAAAAAAATAAACCATATCGTCTTAGTTTTAAACAAAAGCACATATGATTTTATGCCAAAAAAGCTTTTGTTTACTTTAAACATATTTATTTTTGGCGACTTTTTCGCTTCAACACGGTTTCGTTGTGCACTTCGCTTATACTTTTTCATAATTAAAAAAAAACAAACACGAACAAAAAAAATTGAAATTATATATTCCGCCCAATGACACTTGAAGCTGGACACCCTTGGCTGCAACCAATTGTAGCTAGCATCTTTGCACACTCAGCTACAGGCACAACATGGAAGTGTGCTTTTAAATATTCGCCTTGAATTAAGCCAAATTACGCGACTGGTACATTTGTTCAAATTTGTTTTTGCTATTTACAGAGTGGCTTTATTTGGAAATATTTTACTGGGCTGAACTCATTCTCTACAAGAATTTTTAGACAGTACCATCCTGTGATCGGTCGAACAAACTTTTCACAAACTACAGAGTGGCGTTTTTTGAAATTTTATTATTGGGCTGAACTTATTGTTGATGACAATTTCTAGACAACACCACTATGTGATCGATCCAACAAAAGTTTGTTTGAAAAATAATTTTTCTGTTCAAAAATATCGAATCGCTAACATGGGAAAACCTTAAATTAGGCTTCTTAAAAAAACACGCCACTTTTTCTTAGTGTACGAGTTACTTTTCTATAGCTTTTTAAATGTACTGATTTTTAATGAGTGTGTGAACTGTGGCTGAATGTATTTGCAAAAGAGATGGCCAAACAAATTCGATTGATGGATTAAAAGTCAGTGTAATTAAGTCGTTTCAAAGCGATTTTAGTTTTTGAGTATATTGATCTTTCGTTGGACTGTGTAACAAAATAACATAATTTCTGAACCTACATAAATAAGTATTTCATTTTTTAAAACATTTTTGCTTAAATCAGATGTTATCCAATCCATTGCGAATTTCTGGTGTACGTAAATATTGTTGATAAAGAGAAACAGATATGCTTGCGAATTTTAGAGATATTTCGACTTGTACATTAATATACCGACACCCCCTATATATACATTTATATGTATGTATGTGTATATACATTGTTGCAAAAGGGCATGTGTATGCAGGCGTATTTCCATATTCACTTTCCATGCGTGCGTTTGTGTCACTTTACCACAAAAATGCATTAAGTTCTTGAATTTTTGTCAGTTCTATTTGCATGCGACTTCAAATTCGTCAGAGTGAGAGTAACCAAAATGGAATGTGGTAAAGTAAATAAAAATGATAGGCTGGCACAGGGGCGCATCCGGGAAAATATTTTGGGGAGATGTATAGTACTTCTAAAGATATATCACCAAAAAATACGGACTTCAAACAAGGGGGAGGTTATCAATTCGTCCATATAACGGTAATTTACAGAAACACGAAAACTGCGATAAATCAGTAACTACTGAAGCAACTCCTCCCAAAATCACTCAAATCGGGCTAAAATTACACCCGCTTTCCGTGCTTTGCCAAAATTTCAAAATCAAAAGTTATCAAAACAAATTCTGTGGGACTGAGAAATATTATTATGGTACCTCAGAGGTGGTCCAATACTAGTTAGGCTTAGATCCAATATTTGGATCATGAAAAAATTAACGGTACTATTAAATTTGTATATGACTTGTTTTAAATATATATTTTTTTATATATTTTTTTCATTTATGTAATTTTTAGGAACTTATTTTATTTTTCTTTTTTAAAAATATAATTATTTTAATTTGCAGTTAATAAACTATTTGTCGGAAAAAATCAGTTAAGGTATCAAAATGTATGCATTGAAAAATCGCATTTTTTATTTCTTATTTTTTTATTAACTTCCTCATGTTTGATTTTTATCATTTTTTCAACCTGAATATTTGTCAAGCTTTATGGAGTACGCTGTAAAAATTTGAGAATGGAAACACCAAAACTGTAGAAGTTACGAGTTTTTTTTCATACCAGCGTACATAAACTTTAGTATAAACTTTCTAAATCTTAAGCAAGATCTTTTAAAAATATCGCTTCTTAAACTTGCTCTGTTTGCGTTTTCTTAAATAAATAAAATTACTATGCTATTAATTTTTCAATTTTGTCTAAGACAGTACTACCAATTTTATTTTTGCGCCCCTTAAAAATTGTATTCTATATGTATACCTATATACATATTTATGTACATACAAACATACATATCATACACTTCATTTGACCATTCCATTTTACATCCCTTTCACTCTGAGGATGTCACTTTGTGAGTGCAAAAACCAAACTACTTCCATTTAACCTTTTTGTGCTGCCTTCTTCATTCGACCACTATTGGTTTTTGCCATTTTCTTTATTTACCAACGCTGTTGTAAGTTTTCAGTTTTTAGCATTCATTTATTTTTATTTTGACTATAGTTTTTTTTTTGTAGCTGAATCATCTCGGCAATCGTCAGTCAGCGCTGATGCTTTTACGATTTGAGTGGATCCTTTTAAACAATTGCAGCGCACACTGATTGACTGTCTCCACTTTTTGTTGTGTACTACTCTTTTGCCTCTACGCCCCCTTTTCCCCACTCTATATAGTACTTCATATCTTTCAAGCTTTCAACTATGCTTCTTCTTTCCTCGTTGCACGTACTACATACATTTCTCATTCGTTTTCTGTGCGTGTCACTTTTTGTGACTTTTCTCCAACTCTGTATAGATTTTCATTGCAACTACTATTTGTCCGTATATTTACTAGCTTTCCGTATGTGTTTGTGGGTGTATGTTTTTCTTCTTCGTATTCCTGAATGCGGTTAAAAATGGCTGACAAAATGTTAATTAAACGTCCGTTGCACTTTCTGTTTCAAAAGCTCTATACATGTTTGTGTGTAAGCCGGATGGTCACTCGTAGAAGCGTTCGTGCTGAGTGCTTTGTGTTGAGTGGCTTTGGGTTGGCTTAGGGGAGTAAAAATGGTTTTTGCATTTAGTAAAAACTTTAAGGAGTACTTAACTTAATGAAAATTTAAATAAAAGCGTAGCCAAATTTTCTACTTAAATTTTATTTCTAAAGAAATAAAATAAATATTATTCAGAGAATAAAGATACGACTCAATTTAAGTAGAGAGGACCTCAAAACTCTCTCTGGCTACTACGCGGAACTCTGCTCCCTTAACTGTCACCACAATAAAATTAATCTCTCAGAAAGAAACGTCTTCCGCTTTTGTGATCTGGACGAAGAAACTCCAGAACACATTCTCTATGAATGTGACGCTCTCGCTGGGCGCAGACTAGCTCACTAAATCCATTTGAAATTTGGAACAAGGCGCCCTTGCAAGTGCCAGGCTACATTAACCTTCCTATACCCGCGTTAATTTTTGTAACACATATACCCGCGCACGGTCTCACAGACCGAAAGTTCAAACTACATAAAATATTAGTTTTTTCACACAAAACTAAAAACAAATTATTATTTTTCAATCCCGTAGATGTAATAAAAAATAAAACTACGCATTAAATTTGTATTCACTTATTTTATTGATTTTAAGTGATTAACAAAAAAAGCCATCAAAATCGATAATTTTTTCTTAAGTACTACAAAAACAAAACAATAACATATTTTTTTATTCACATAAATAAAAATAAGTTATAATAACTTAGAAACACTTCTTGGACAATACATAAATTATAAATTATATTAGTTTTTAGTCTTGAAATAAAAAATCATGGCATATCGCAATTCATGTAAAAATCTGCCTTAAAAAGAAAACTTACGCTTTTACCTCTTCAAAAAAAAAAAACAAAAAATGCCTTTTCTAGCTTAAAAAATATTTATTTGCTATAAAAACGTCAAACTATCTTATTCATTATCCTTACGGAAACACTCAGGACACACCATAATAGCATGTTCCAAACAAAAATACTGTCGGCATGTAGTCACAAAAAATTACACATATACCCGCGTCGGTCCCACAGACCAATTTTTATAAAATTCACCAACACGCCTGTCTAGTGCAAACGCCAAATCAACACTAATATAGAGCTTGCAAGAAAAGCGGAAGCTAGCAGTAAATTCAGCTTTGTAGAGTTTCTGGAAAAACAAAAATTTACGTAAAATCATTTTCTCGGTCTCACAGACCAACGCGCGGGTATAGGAAGGTTAAAAGCCATCCCATTTAAGGCGGAGAGCCACGCACAATAAATAACTTTAGAGGTCGTGCTACACGGTTAAAAATTTCGGTTTTAGTTCTAAACAGTTTCAAAAACAAACCTTCCAAGTTGAAAAAAGAGAGCACATATGTTGGGTTTAGAATTTAAACAGTTCGGTTTAAATTTTGTCCAAATAGTCAACTTTTTATTCAGATATTTTTCCGACTTAACTGAAATCAGAATTTGTCTGGCAAATGTGCTAGCTGGGCACATAGCTACATCCACACATATGTATGTAATAAAAATTATTGCTTACCAGGCACAATGATTGTGTCATTCTTCATCCAATAGTTGATGGATTTCGGATATGCTTCCGATTGACATTCGAGCGTAATGTTCTGGCCAATAGCAGCGCCGACTAATTGATTTTGTATCCAAATCATGGGCGGAACTGAAAGTAGGTTTGAATATTTGAATAGCTAGTATATGTACATATATATGCATGTCTAATATACTATAATAAATATACATAGTATATAAAGGAAATTGATGCACCACTAATCCATATATGAGTATATGATTTGTATAAAAACTTAATTGTTTATAGTTTACCTTGGAAAATTAAGCAAAACTCATTAAAAAAGTTTTGATGTTACTCAAGGGAACTAATTACAAAAGTTTTCAGTAATAAAAAATTTGCGGACCTACCAGATTTTTATGTGAATTTTAATGTAAACTATTCCGCCGAAACCGAATATGAAATCAAAAAATAAGAAAGTAAAATAGTTTTTGAGTTATAATTAAACAAATTTAGAGTTTTTGCTGTCTGAAAAAAAATGCACTCATTAAATTGCAGTTTTTATATGAACACAATTGGCCATTTTTAAATTTCTACTCACACTAGTAAAGCCTAAACTAAACCAAATCTTTAAAAACGGATTAGTAGTTTAAGAGCTAGTAATTTATGTATATTGCCAATTTTGAATAATTTTTAACAAAATAAAAAAAAAGTTTCTTTCGGTAAGCATGTCAAACTACAAATACAAGTAATAAGTCGCTGATTATCTAAATGGAATAGTAAATGTAGAAGTACTGATCAGTTAAGGTAAAATGCATTTACAAAATGTCCATACAAACTTCTACTGAAATATGCTGCGTAAAAACTTCCTCTAATAACAATTGCTTTTGATCAGAGGTGGGCACTACCACAAACAACTACTACATACTATTTTGTTGATAATAAATGCACGTGCCACTGTGCACTATACCAGGGGTTCCCAAACTTTTTTTACCTCGGCACCCTTGCTGAGCTAAAAAAAGTTCGCGGCACCCCTACTCTTCAAATGCCAACGAAATCAAAAAAACAAAAACACAATGCAAACTTTATGCTCCTTTAGCTTTAATGTGAGGACTGAAATTGTTTTGATGATTTCATTATTTCCTTTAAGTTTATTGGCAGCTTTGACCCTTAAATCATTTGACGCTGAGAGCTTGCTGGTGTATTTCTTTTTAACCGACTTCACAAAACGGATAGGTTATCAATTCGTCGGAATATTTTATTATTTTTTTCTATGTATGCTACCGCCAAGTTAACCGATTACCGTGGTACCTGACAAGTGGTCTAATTTGGTTTAAATCCGATCACTGAATAATGAATAGATTAACGATAATCTTAAATTCTTAGATGGGAATTGAAATCGGTTTTGTTTTTTTTTTTTTTTTGCTTAAAAATTACTTGTTTATGTAAGCATTTGTATTAAATGCAGTCTAACTTAGAAATGTAAAAGTAAGGCCCCTATTATGAGTTGCATACGACTGTGGTCGAAAGTGCTGATCGAGCGAATTTTCATTTGGTATTATGACGCTCATTCGATGAAGAATAGCGCTTATGTAAATTTCGCTCGATTAGGTTATTTACAATAGTATATTTTTCACCGCTGAGAAGTTTTGTTTACAAATCGAACAAACTAAATAGTGTGCTTATACATAAGTATGTAAATTTGTGCAAATTAAAATGAAATAAAAAGGAGAGCGAGTTTATAAAAACGTGGTAAAAATGAGTACAACGGAGTTCTGGTTCAACGATTCGTCATAGGATGAGAGCTTGGTAAACTGGCCAGGAGTAGAAAATGTTTAAGAGGGTTTAAGTGTAGTCTTTTGAATATATTTTGATATAAAATATATTTAAGAAATTTTGGCTACATATTTATTTAAAACTTCCGACTGTCTAAAGGCGCGTTTGTAAGCCAAATCTATTTAAAATATTTTAGTTTTCAATATTTTAAACCTATAAACAGCTTACGATTTTGTTCTCAGAGTTCGTGCCAACTGAGTATTGGGGTTTTCTTTCACAAGTAAAACCAGCCTTTGGAGCTGGAAATTAAATTAGTGTCTAGCCGCCTTAAAGTAAAAAAAAAAAAACAAATGCAAAATTATACATTTTTAACAATTTTCTAACTCTTCGCTACACCATCGAAAGCAAAATTCTGTTCGACAGAAAACTCGATACTCAAAGAAAATTTCGACACGGTTGCATAGCTCATAATTTCACTTTCGATGTTCGATCTCCCTTCGTGATATTTAATAATCAAAGTGTTGTCTTCACTGATGTCCAGAAGGTTTTCAAAGGCTTAATTGGTTATCTCAGTAGGTTTACTTTTCGGGCCACATGAAAACGGGTTTGTTATCCAGCTGAAGCCATCCTCAGAGTCAATGTTGGGAAATTATTCGACAATGGTTTTTCTAAACCTTCCAAGTTAACGCTGGTAATGCGCGTTAACGTTAAGAAAATAATTTTTACAGCCAATTTCACGAAAGCAATTTAAGTGATAAATGATTTAAATTTTTTGAATTTTATATGGAAATTGCTAGTGAAACCGGATGTTATAAATTTTCTTAGCGTTAACTTCGAAGTTACATACGTTTTTCCGATTACTTTGTTTATTTATGGGGTTTTCATGCAAATTGCTAGAAATTCTAAAATAAACATGTCACCAGTAAAAAACAATCTCGACGTGCTAGAAAAAACTACAGATCTATTTCAATTTCGCAGGCCTCTGTTATCTTCGCAGCGTCATGCAATCGGGTTTTAAATCTAGGGAAGATGCCGCTTCCTAGTCGCCAGGGAATACCGAGGGATCATACAGTGACTTCTCGTGGCGTTTTCTGCCTCTTGCTTCATCTTAGACATTGCTCCGTTTCGTTTTTCCAACCACCGCAAATATCCGCACACTTACCCCATTTCAAACCATTGTTCTGTACAAATTTGTCGATAGCTTTAAAAATTTCGTCGCTATTGGCGTAAGTCTGAAGTACTTCGTTCTTCTTCGTTTTGCATTACAAATGGGTACCTCACAAACACGAGAAGACTGCCTCTAAAATTGCGTCGATTCGCTCTTTGACAGTGTGATTGTGAAGTTCCAAGGAATAAGTAATATATACACGTACGCGAAGCTGCTGGACTTGTTACGAGAACAGCCCAGCCAGCAAAAAATTCGAAAATTAATCCGAAAACGGGATGAAAAGTGGATGAAACGCGGATTGGGTCTACAAAATACCGAGAGTGGTTGTGAAAAGGATACGTTTTCGGCAATTTTTCTGAAAATTTTCTGATTAAATTTTACGTTGACAAGACGTACTGGGGAACTACGGTTAAGAGCGAAATATCTCTTTGCTGCAAGCTATTTGTGTTGTGTATGGGGCTTGGCGAGCCGCTGAAGGTAATTTTAATAAAAATCAAAATTTTTTTGATTTCTTGGCCGCTATGTTGAAGTTTGATCAAACCACTTGCGTTGTGTATGGAAAGTCAAAAGAATTTGCCCACACCACTAGTATACTCTAGCCCCTAGCGGCACCCTGGCATACCCTGGGGTGCCACGTCACCCACTTTGGGAAGGCCTGCACTAGATTTTCAGACTCACTATCTGAAAGTACTCTTCAACAAACCGACACACGCGAGCAGCGGTACGACCTCTCCCGCTCATTACATGCCGCCGTAGAAGTAGTGAGATTTCAGCGAGCCCGAAAGAATAGGTGGTATGAAGAGAAATTTCACGAAGCTGCAGAGAGAATAGGATGTGCCTAAAGGGTCATACGTGAGCTTGGTGGGCCAATATAGGGAATCGAAGAGGAAAGATGAACCCGAGCCTCCAGCCGATGATGCCGGCAGCGATGTCCCACCGTCTGACTATATACTGACGAATACTTAGCAATAAAGCGATGAACAGTGTGAGCTTACAACGATATACAACGATAATTGCTGTTGACATGGGCATAGTGCAGCGAGTTAAAGTGCAGCGGCACCGCTGACTCGGTCACGAAGTACGAATGGACCCAACCGCTTAAGTCCTAAAGGTATTCAACGCGGTACCCGTTGTTTACCTGCAATGAAAAGACAATGAAAAGAGCAAAACTAGGTTTCTAACTATTTTCAGTTGGGGTTAGTCGGACTCGGCCAAATGCACGTGGAGCAAACCATACTACATATACATACAAGCAAACAGCAAAAAGTATGTATGTAGCTATGATAAAAAAAATATTACATTTATCGTTTTGCAAAAGAACTTACTCTACTATCCGCTGCTCTGTATTCATACCAAATCCATTAAAGTGTTATTAGATTAGCACGTCACTCAGAAAATCTGCCATCACTTCGCTAAAAAACTATGTAGAAAAGAATTACTTAAATGTCTAAAGAATTTAGTGCTCAAATTCGGAAAGCATCTCAACTAATTCCCGAATGCACTGTGACGTCCATTAGAGTAGAGTATTAAGTACTAAACCAATTTGGCTTAGATAGTGCATTGAAAATGTATATGTAATGTGTTTGTGCTCCTATAGCTTCTGCCCTATGGTTGCACAATTTGCTACAAAGGCGTAAGATAAATTTTTATCACTGGCTGAAAAATAATTAAAATTATATGTACTGTCAGTAGCTTTGGTTAATAGACGCGTCACTTTGGTATGCCATTAGGTGACTGCTGGCCTGCAGTTGAGCAGCAAGGAATGTACATAGTAAATCAACAATAAACAAGCAAAATAAACCGGAAAACAAATATTTTCTTATTTAAATAATTGAAATACTTTTTGCACTCAAACCAGGCAAGCGCAGCCGAAGTTTAGGCGAGGAATACAAGCACTGAAAGTACTGACTTGTTGATGCTTCAATGAAGCAACCAATCGACAGGCAAAAATCCAAACTAAAATGCAATGAGGGATTAAGTAAATGACTTTGGTGAGAGGACATCAATTAAAACAAACAGCAGCGGAAGAGTGATGAGGAAGAATTTTAGTTGGAAAGTCGTTGGTTTATGGTGTTGTGGCAGGAAAACCAATACAGACGACAAAGTGATTGAAATGTGTGTATACGAGGGTGGAGAAAAAAATCAAATTTTTCTATTTCGAAATTGAAAAATTGTGGAAAATTTTCGTGACAATGTTAGAAAAAAATTT